CACCACTGAGTGCTCTCTGTGGTCCTGGGGAAAAGCAGACAGAGAAAGGAGGAAGCGAGAATTATGAGAGAGGTGGAAACACAAAAAGAGAGACAGAGGGAGTCACACACCACACACACACACACACACACACACACACACACACACACACACACCCAAGGACAGAGGAAAAAACAAAAAAAGAAGGGAATGAGAGATACAGAAGAGAGAAAGAGAGGGAAAAAAGGGAGGAGAGAAACCAAAAGACACAGAGAAATAGAGACAGAGAATAACACAGAGGGGGGAAATGAGAGGGGGAGAGACAGAAATTAAGAAAGAAATGGGGAAAAAAAAGGGCAAGAGAAGAGGGAGAGAAGCACAGAGAGATAATCAAACAGATGGAAGGGCAGAAAAATAAGAAAGAAGAATAGAGAGGGAGGCAGAGGAGAGAGACAGAGAGACAGAGAGACAGAGAAAAGTGGAAAGAGGAAATGAGACAGAGTTAGAGTGAGAGAGACAGAAAAATGTAGACCGATAGGGACGGAGGAGACAGAAAGAAATGGTAAGAATCACAGCCAGAGAGAGAAAGAGACCAAGAGACAGGGAGGGGTGAGAGAGAAGCCAGGAGACACAGAGTGCTGGGGACTGATGGAAAGAGACAGAGACAGACAATCAGATGGGGGAAGGAGGGAACACATCCTCCCAGAGACCCTTGTCCCTCACTCCCCATTGGCATCCACCACGTCCCCTGCCCCACCCCGACAGGTGGGGACCCAGAGAAAAGCCTCAGGCCCCCTCCCATCTGCAGGGCCCCGCCTGTCCTGTCCTCCTGGTTTGGCCGCCTCCCTCCTCTGCCCTGAGGTCTCTGATGGGCACCTGGGTGGGAGGAAGGGTGCTAAGCCTGTCCTGTGGGCTACCTGATGTGGCCATCTGGGCGGAGTCAGGATGGAAAGCCCAAGTGACACCCTCCCTTGAGGCCTAGGCAGGCCCCAACCTGCCTCCCTTTGGAGTGCAGACAGGAAGAGACCTCAAAGGTCAGGTCCACTGTACTTCTCACTGTACAGGGGAGGAAACCAAGACCCGGAAAGGGGCAGGGACAAGACCGAAGTTATGTGTAACCAGGTGGTGGCCAGGCCACTAGGCCCACAGTCTTCATCCAGGCAGAGCTGGCAGACATCACAGATGCCGTGGCCCAAAAACCCTGGGACTTGCTTTCTCCTGGTTAAACTACTTCCTGCCTAGGAGCACCCCGAGGCTTTAGTGACAGTATTTTAGATGCCTGGCACTGGGCTGAGAGTCTCACTCAGAGTCCTGTGAGGTGATACTATGATTGCGCGTATCTGCAGATGAGGAAACTAAGTCTCAGAGAAGTGAAGACCTCTAAGACTAAGGTCACATGATGTCAAGACCCAAGCTGGGTCTGTCTGACCCTAAAAGCTGGGTTTCTGCTACGATACCTCCTGGCCGTTCCAGGTGACAAGCAGGGAGGGGCTCTGTAATATGGAAAAGGGGAGCAGAGGTGGATGGCAGTTCCTATAACAGCAGAAAGTACCAGAATGATGGTTTTCAAACATCAGAATCCTTCCCAGAGGATCTCACCTTTGATCAGTGTGTCCTTGCTGCCCTTGGGAACCCCAGGACTCCCTACCATTCCCACCACCACTTGCTCTACTCCACACCCCCTTTCCCAACCTCTGGAGAGAAGGAGTTTCGCCCCTGGGATACCCCCACCTTCTTTCCCTTTTCTTCATTGTCCCCAGCTATGACCTTTGGGCCACAGGCCCAGGCTGGTTCTGAAGCCACAGAGATGGGCCTACCTGCCCTGCAGCCCCTTCCCCCTCTGAACAGTGAGCTCCCCTGCCCCAGCTCTGCCCCTGGATCTGTCTCACTGGAGCTCATCCTTCTGGAAGAGACTCAGATGGAGGTCAGGGGGAAGTTGGGGAAGTAGTAGGCTGGCAGGCAGATGGACAAACAAGTCACTGTCCTGGCCAGCCCTGACTCCCAGCCAACCCTCCAACAGCTGCACTCCCAGCCTCTAACTTCTCCCCAGCTGGGACCTGACACCTGAGGTTTTTCCAACCTCACTGAGCCCTCAGTTTCTTCATCTGCCCTAGGGGTGTAAATACTATAGCTTTACCAGATGGTTGGAAGCCAGGCTTGGGGGCACAGGACAAGTGTGGGTATAGCCCCTCCCTGATGGAGAGATCCCTGTCTTGGGGAACACATGATGCCCTCTATGTCCTCCAGGTGGCCATAGTCCCGGAATGTAGGTGGCCACAGACCTATCCCCCCTGGGCCACTCTCTGCCCCTTTGGGGACTGTGGTCCCTTCCAATCCACAGCATCAGCCCTGCCCTATGTTGCTCTCAAGTCCCGCACCGGCTGGGCTGTGTCTCCCCCGTCTATCAGACCAGGAGGGTTGCTGCTGGGCCAGGATTGTGTTTCTAGTCTCAGGAAGTGGAGAGCCCTGGGGTGCTGTCCCCTGGGTATGCCAAGTCTTTCTAACAACCAGGACTGAGGAGGGGGAGCACATCAGGTGGCCTGGGGATGGGCACTTCCATTCCTAGAAGCCTTGGGAGCTCCTAGGGTAGTAGCCCCAAGGCCCCAGTCCTGCCCTCTCCTCCTTGACCCAGCCCAGGCCAAGGTCCATGGCTCTCTGCCAGCTTGGTGGAGGTGGGTGTGAGAGCCTCCACTGGGGCAGAAGGGGACAAGGACAGGTTCTGGGGTCTCTTCCAAGCCCCTGAACCCTCTTTCCTCTCTGCGGAGATGCAGAACTACTGGCCCCGCCCCCATGGCCCAAGGCTTTGGCTCCCACAGTCCCCATCCAGGCGGGGCTGGCGGCAGGTGACTGGATGGTGCTGAGAAAGGCAGGGTGAGTGGGGGCGTGGGCCCTGGCAAGTGCCCTCCTCAGCCAATCAGCAGCCTGCCCAGCCGGTGGATTCGGTTACAAGCCCAAGATCACCCCATACTTCAGCCTCTTTCCTCCTCCTTCCGCAGCTCCATTCATTGGCCCTGCTGCACCAGGGCCTGCTGGGCACTGCTTCCGCTCCTGCTGCTAAGCTGCTGCCTCGTGGGACCGCCAAGGGCAGGCATCCCAGGGGCTTTGTCTGACCACGCTGGGTCAGGGCAGAATGGGCATCCTGACAGAGCTGTTGCAGGTGCTGGGATTCCTGGGAGTGGCTCTGGGGGGCTCTCCTGCCTTCCGCTGGGACAGCACCTCCTGCCACTTGGCCAGGCCCATCCGTGGCAGCCCCCTGGGGTCCCTGAGCTTCCTGGGCAAGGATGCCCAGAGACTGGCCCTATTCCACGCCCACTGGGATGTGCACAGGAGGCTGCAGGCATGTAGCTGGCAGGACGAACCGGAGCTCACCAAAGTCTTCAGTGCCCTCTGCACTCATGAGACCACCCGGAGCTCCTTCATCCACACCCCTGGACCCAAGCTGCAGAGAGCACTGGCCACCCTTCAGAGTCAGTGGGAGGCCTGCCGCGGGCCTGAGGACAGGCCAGCAGGGGCCAGAGAGAAGAGGGCAGCAGGGCAGAATGGAGCACCTGGCCAAGGGCGCCAGCGAGTGAAGAGAGGCTGGACCATGCCTGGAACGTTGTGGTGTGGAGTTGGGGACTCTGCTGGGAACTCCTCGGAGCTGGGTGAGCCACGGGGTTGTGGGCTGGGGATCTGGTGGGGGAAGCACAGGCTTCAGCCTTGGCTCCCACTTTCCGAGGCTGTGTGTCCTTGGGGGAGTGACTTGGCCACTCTGAGCCTAGATTTCCTTATTTGTAAAATGGGATTGACCATGAGTCTCATCATGGGATCCTTAAATGAGGTCATGGATGGCGAAAGTCTTACTCAAACCCAGGAATCCTCACTGATCACCATCCACGGGAGGGGGCAGGCTGGGGTGGATCCAGAGGTGGCTGAGCCAAAAAGCCATGACCTAAGAGGAGGCTTTATGGGTACAGGGTGCCCAGTGGAACCAGCACCAAGACCAGAGGCCTGGGTTCAATTCCCAACTCAGCACATCCAAGCTGAGCAAGTCATTTTCCTTCTCTGAACAGTTTTCTCACCTGTAAAATGAAGGTGATACCTCCCTTGCAGGGCTGCCAGGAGCTTGGGTGTGGGAAGTGCCAGGCATGCAGGAAATGCTCAGTAAAGGACGCTATTGCTTGGATGGTGATAAACACGGACGTCTTTCTTGCACTCTCAGTACAGCTAGTCTGTGCATATGTGTGGAAGGTTGAGGGAGGACTTGGAACCTGAGTCAGAGCAGGTTGGTATCCTGGCAACACTTTGTTGTGCCACTGTGAAAGGTTGCATCCTGCCTATTTGCCATCCCATTATACATACTTTCATAACTTTGGAGTTTTGTTTGTGACATGAGCTTGGAAACTCTGGAGGCAGTCTCCAATTCCCCTGAGGAAGCCCTTTCTATGTTCCAATGGGTGTGCTGCCACTAGCTGAAGTTGCCCAACTGGGGCTGCAGCCTGGGTGCTCTCTTTCAGCTTTGAAACTGAGAGTCTCATGGAGAGTGGTGGGCCTGAGGCCACCCAGGGCATTTGTGTCAGAGCTGGGGTGAGAACTAGGTCTCTGCATCTTGATACCAGGTGGGCAGAGCTGGTGCATGGTGCTCAGGACCCTGCTGAGGTGGTGCTCCCTTCCCTCCCAGCAGGGGTCTTCCAGGGCCCTGATCTCTGCTGCCGGGAACACGACCGTTGCCCACAGAACATCTCGCCCTTGCAGTACAACTATGGCATCCGAAACTACCGGTTCCACACCATCTCCCACTGTGATTGTGATACCAGGTTGGTGGCAGGCAGGGAAGGCTGGGGGCTCAGGGAATGGGTGGAGTTACCCAGTTCCTGGGTGTGGACATTGGGATTCCATAGAATCCTAAAGATCAGCCAGTCCAGACCACACTGTTCAGGTAGGAAAGCTGAGGCCCAAGAGAAGGGACTCTTGGACTCTAAACCACCTGGCTGGTAGTGGCAGGGAGGGCTGGAAGAGGAGTCAGACAGCCTTCTGTGGTCCAGGGTTCTAAATGTTGGCTCTGGGGCAGGTTTCAGCAATGCCTGAGGAATCAGCATGACTCCATCTCAGACATTGTGGGCGTGGCCTTCTTCAACGTGCTGGAGACCCCCTGCTTTGTGCTGGAAGAGCAGGAGGCGTGCGTGGCGTGGTACTGGTGGGGCGGGTACGTGGTACTGGTGGGGCGGGTACGTGGGTGTCTCCCTTGAGTCACTTCCCAGCAGAGGGGGAGTCCAGGCTCCAAGCCTGGTGAAGGAGAGCTATCTGTCTTGTCCTGCTGTCCTCTCCTCTGCATCCTGGGAGGGCCCCCCACAACCCATTGGGATGGGGGATGGGTCTGGCAGAACCTTGGTCTCCACGGAGACAACCCAGGGCATGTCTGGGTCACCAACTGCCACTAACTGTCACCCTCCAGGTGTAGGACGTATGGCTCGGTGCCCCTTGCTCGCCTCCAGCCCAGGACCTTTTACAATGCTTCCTGGAACTCCCCGGCTACCTCTGTGATTTCCAGCCCTCAAAGCTCAGCCCCTACCAAGCCTCGTTCGAAGCAGCACCCTCGGAAGTGGCTGTCGCAGCGGAAAGCATCCAGGCATCCCAGCAAAGCTAACATCACAGCCCTCCAGGCCCCCATGGCCTCCCCTAGGCCTGATGTGGCTCCTATAGCCCAGCCAGGGGTCCACCATTTAGGCTTCCAGGACCCACAGGGTGGCCTAAAACCTCAGGGTGAGCTTAGAACCTAATCTTGGGGGTGCCTGATGTGAGTGGGTGTCCCTGTCTCTGTGTGTGCGTGGAGGGGGGGTGTTGCCTTCTTTCCTGCTCCAAACACCTCCCAGGATCTCCCAACTTCTCCCATCAAATCACACTGCAGCAAGGGATTTTCACAAACCACAAATTTGACCATGTCACTCCCTGCTGAATCCACCTGCCATGGCTCCTGTTTACCTCACCTGATGATGTCCCAACATCCAGGGACCCTCAAGCTCGAAACTCCAGTTTCACAATTACTTAATTCTCAAAAGCAGCCTGCTCTCTCCTATCTCTGGGCCTTTGCACATACTATTACTTCTGCCTGAAGCACTCTCTTCTCTTCTTCTCTCCCAGCCTAGCTTAGCAGCCTGTGCCTCCAGGAAGCTTTTCCTGACCACCCTCAGCACTCTGAGCTCCCCCCACAGTGGTACTGCTGTGTGTGTGTGTGTGGTGAAGCACTCTCTTCTCTTCTTCTCTCCCAGCCTAGCTTAGCAGCCTGTGCCTCCAGGAAGCCTTTCCTGACCACCCTCAGCACTCTGAGCTCCCCCCACAGTGGTACTGCTGTGTGTGTGTGTGTGGGGGGGGGACACTTCTGTATAAACGGCACTCTGAGAGCACAAAGGGCATGAGATGAAGGGAGACTGTGTTTATGTAGCTGAGCCCATGTGCCAGTGTTTCTCCTGGATGGCAGTGGGCATTGGTTGGGCCTCTCTGGTGGACAGGGCTCCACTTACCACCAAACTTGCCCCAGATGCCCGCCGGGCCTGCCGCAGCTTCCACCACCTGGACCAGTGTGAGCACCAGATCAGGCCCCAGGAAACCAGGTTCCAGCTGCTCAACAGTGCCCGTGAGCCCCTCTTCCACTGCAACTGCACACGCCGGTGAGACCTCCTTGGACTCTTGGGGGTAGGCTGCCTGCTGCCAGGCACTGGGAAGGGGCACCTTGTGGGCAAGGCCCTACCCCAGCCTGAGCCTGCCTCTGCCCTCAGTCTGGCACGCGTCCTGAGGCTCCAAAGCCCACCTGCAAGCGCCACTATGCTTTGGGAACTGCTGGGCACTAACTGCTTCAAGCTGTCCTCTCCATTGGACTGTGCTGAGGGCAAAGGGTAAGTGATGGCAGAGCTAGGAGGAATGGGGGCTCCTCCCAAGGGGTGGGTTGCCTATACCCGCTTTGGGTACCTGGGCAGGGGTTGGGGAAAAGGGTCAGAAGGCCTCTGAGCTCCATCGCCAACATCCCTCTATCCCCTGCTGCCCTGGGTTCAGCTCTGCTGTTGACCTATGTGGGTTGCATCTTCACTCTATCATTTAATTCTTGTGTGACCCTGACAAGCTGATTCATTCCTCCAAGCCTCCATTTCCTTATCTGTAAAATGGTTGTAGGAGTGAAGGAGATGACTTATGTGATGCACGTAGTTCAAGGCCTTCCTGGCACACAGCAAAATGCTAGCTTAACTCTTACTCCTAATCCACAATCTCATTTGGATTCTGATTCTCCAAGTCAGGCCCACTACCATTCCCATTTCACAGGTGAGGAAACTGAGCCCAGATTGGCTCAGGTTTCCATAGCCAGCTAGTGGCAGAACCCAGGCCTCTGGGTACCAGTCCAGGTTTATTCTGCCCCCTCCTAGGTGTACCCCACCCCTCCTTCCCTTACTGGTCTCTGGCCCAGCCCTGCTCTTCTTTGGGCCTTGGTGCCCCTGTCTGCAGAGTAGGGTGGGATCCTTGCTACCCCTTCCCCTCACCTCTTCTCTCCCCACAGCTGTTCCAGAGACCCTAAAGCCATCAAGGTGCCAGCTCGGCATTTGCGGAGGCTGCAGCAGAGGCGATTCCAGCTCCAGGATAAAGGCACACATGAGCGGCAGGCACAGCTTTCAGAGCATCTGGGGGATTCCATTTCATTCTATGACCAATGCCTGCAGCTAACTGAGGCAGCCAGGAGACCTGAGGGGCAGCAGAAATCCTGGAGCCAGTGACCTCAGTTCCAGCTGTCCTGGGCACCAGCTTGGACCTTGCCCCTGGCTTTGTCAGGCTCTGAGAGTCTTGGCTTCCTTTCCACGGGTTAGACTGAAGCATAGCAGAGGATCTTGTGGACAGCCAGGAGGCTGGATGAGGGAAGATCTCAAGGCCCAAATGTTGGACCATGTCTCCTACTGTGCTGGGTAATCTTGAGCTGATGATACAACCCCTCTGTGTGAGAATGCAGCATTCAGGAGGCTCACTCTGATGCCCTGGGCTTGGGCCTTGCCAGAGAACTTCACATACAGAAGGGATGGGGAGAGGGTAACTTATTGCAGCTGCTCCAGGAAGTACCAGGAGGAGGTGCATGTATGTCCATGTTGCAAAATTAATACATGTTTCAAGAGCCTACCTAGGAGAGCCCTAGTGCCTGGCTGCCTAGGCTAGGGATAGCAGGTAGGGAATTAGGGATGTCACAGAAGTACCTGCGTCTGAATCCAGGATGGGCATGGGGGTGTCATTGGAGAGGGCTTCCCAATTCCCCTATTCCTCCCATCTTTTAACAGCCATTGTGCCATTCCTGGCCCATTCTTTCTGCCCTAAACCTAAATTCTAATCTCCCCTGTTCCCTTGGGCAAGGGACCTCCCTCCCCCACTCTGAATCTTAGTTTCTTCCTCTGAAAAATGGAGTTGTAAGCAGGAGCTACCTCATAAGGTTGTTGAGGATTAGGTGAACCAGTACATATCCAGTGCTTAGCACCTAGTAAACATCCCCTCCAACACACAGCTCAACTGTGCTTTGTTGTCTGACCTTGAGAGGCTGACGTAACCTCTTGGAGGCCTTGGTTTATTCACCTGTGAAAGGGGTCTAAGAATATCACCGAACTCACAGGTTTGTGGTGCAGATTAACGGAAATGGCATATATAATGTATATAGCTGCTGCCTGGTAAATGTCAGTTCTATTATTCTCTTGTCTCTTTAGTCCCTGCCTCTGATTAGCCGCATCCCCAGACTGCTAACAAGTTAGGAAGGAGCCGGGAGTGAGGCTGGAGAATTTAATTGCTAATGGATGACTTCCAGGTTTGGTACATCTGCCAGAGCTCCCCCACTATTCCAGATGGGGGTCCCAGGGGGGGCTTTGCTGATTGTCACAGTTGAGGTGCCAGGACCTAGTTTTGGGGGACCCCAGTTGGCCACTCCTGGCTGGGACAAATGGCAGGTACAGATACAGCTGGAGCAACAGCAGGAGAAAGGCAGACAGGTTTGCAGAAGATTGAAGCAGAGTTGGGACCACCTGGGCCCATCTGCCTGCCCAACCTCAGGGCCCCAGGCCCCCTTCTTCCAGTCCCTGCCAGCCCTGGGGACTGGGAGACAGGCTTTCAGGGGACAGGGCCTCCTGATCAGGTCCCCAGGAGCCACCACCATGAGAGTCTACAGTCTCCAGGCGCAAGGAAGGCAGCAGACCCAGCCTTCTAGGCACAGCTGGTGGGAAGACCCAGGGGCCAGGCCCAGGGGGCCCCTCCTCACTACTGCCCCGGCTGCCACCATCATTGCCCCTGTTGGGAGCCACCCGGGGCAGTTGGCGGCTCTGGGGTGAGGGGCTACGGCTGGCACCACGACGTTCGCGGGATGAAGGCCGTAGGGCAAGACTGGGGAAACGGGCCAGGCCCGGGCTGCGGCTACGGTGTCGCTTGGATTTGCCAGGGCTGGGACTGCGGGACTTGGGTGCTAGCAGCTCCAGTGTGCTGTCATCCTCACCCTCCGAGCTGGTGCCTGAGCTGTCTGTGCTGCTGCTGGCCAACTCCGAGGTGGGCAGTGAGATCTGCGGGGAGCGCTGGTCACTGAGAAGCTCAGCCCAACCTGGCCACTGACGCCTCAGGGAACCACTCCAACCCTTCCCACTGGCAGACGCAGGGAGACTGGCCTACTAGTCCTAGGTCATGGAGCAGAATGTAGAGGCTGTGTCATTTGAACAGGGTCTTTTGGCATCCCTGACCCTGCAGTCTGGCCTACTTACCTGGAAGGGTTCAGTGACGCCAATGAGGATGCTGTGATTGTGGCTATAATAGCCCAGGATGAAGTCTCCATGGCCCTTGGGCAGTGATTCCTCACTGAATGTCACCTGGTGGGCCCAAGGGTACAGGCCCAAGTTGGGGTCAGGGAGGTAGCACCAGAACCCCTCGAGCTGAGTCCTGAAGTCCTAAGGGCAACGGGGACTTCCCCGACTTTCCCTTCCTTTTTTTTTTGTCTTTTTTCATGTCCGGCAACGGACTGCAACCCTCAGTGTCGCGCCCGTACCGGACTGGGACCGGCAACTGGATCGCAACCCTCGGTGCTGTGCCCGCCCCTCGCTCGCTCAGCCAGTGAGCGGGAACCGGTCCGTATGTGGGATCCGAACCCTCGGCGGGAGCG